CCCACCCTACTTGCCCTTTTGGCAAGCGCCAAAAACGGGGGAGGGGGGGGGGGGGGTAGGGGGTATGACAGACTCCTCCAGGCAGTCACACCTGAACATGCCTTTGAGACAAGTTACATAGGTTTGTATAACATGATTATATGAGGACACTTTGTTTTAGAACCCAGACTCTTCTGACAAGAACCTTAAAAATGCCTTCAACTGCAGCTACAGTAATGATATGGAATAACTTCTATACAGGCTATAGCCAAAAATACCTTGCAGAATTACAATTTTGTTTCTGTAAATAATATAAAAATTAGAGAAAACCATTATCCAGATGACTGCAGAACCCAATAAGATTAGGTCCCTCAACTGCTAAACAGTAAGAAGCTTACAGGCCTTAACATTGCATAAACTAAAGATACATTTTGGTGGATGGATCTAGCTACCTCAGCATGTACAATTATGTCCTTTGACAAAATTATAGTGTACAGTTTTAGGAAGCACAATTCTTGACCATTGATGACTCTTACAGTAGTATTACCAGTCCCAAGCATCAAAAACTTGAGAGTCAGGCTACAAATCAGTGGCATAATTCTGAAATGGTTTATTGCTATTTGTGTTGGGATTTTTGACCTTTTTGGTGTTCTTGGATTGTACCGCCAAGCTTTTCTTAGGGCTTCATCAGGGCTAGAAGCTGTTTGAAAAATCAAAGTTCAGATTCTATTATGTTTACTGGGCTTCTTATGCTGAGTCTTCAGATACAACATCAAATCCTGAAAATCTTGTGATAAAATACATGAGCTGGCGATACTATAGCTGTTATAATTCCTGCCAAAAGAATCCTTTGAAAGTTCTTAATTCATGCACTGAAACTCTAGAACCAAACCCTCAACATGGGAATACAACTGCAAAATGTAATCAGTAATAATTTCAGGTACTGTATATAACATTTAATCTTCCATGAAAATATGCTTCTGAGTTACATACACTATAGAATCCATGGCAGTGTCCTGGTATCTTTAAAATTATAATCTCAGTGTTTTAAAGGATTTCACTGAATAAAGCAGCTTAAAAACTGAATAAAACCTCCCTATTACTAATCCTTATTAGTTGCCCACTTGCTGTTCTGCATGTAACAAATAATAATTTTAAAAAGACAGCTGTGAGGCAGAGATGATCTGTTTTCCTCTAGCTTTGCCTGTTCCCAGAATCACAAGGATGAGCTTGCGGAGAAGCTCTCAGCTCCTTATCCTGTCACAGGGGGACACCTACCCCCTGCCAAATTTGCAAGTGAGGAAGATCTCAGGCTTCCTCACCTGGAAAGAGGATGAGGGAAGATTCCTTCTCCCCTCCCCTCTCTCCCGCTCTCACATGATCAGTTTCCCTTCTTCTGGCATTTAAGATTCCCTCCTTTGCATGGTTTATTCCTAGTGCACACTGTTGTAGTATCCAAGTGTTTTTCTAAGTTAGGAGGAATCCGGATTCTCCCTTACCATGTTTCAGAGATTTGATGGATGGTGTGTGAGAAAGATCTATATATGGGAGAGACCAGGAAAGTCAGGGCATCTAAAAAGCAGGCCAGAAATGCAAACAGAGAGGGGAAAATGTATTCTGCATATTGCTTCAGATTATATCCTTCTAGTCGCATTTTCCTATAAATTTACATGCAACTGTAACTAATAGAAATTCAGCATAGGTGAACTATAGACAATTACTCATGAAACTTACTTGTGGTAACCATCTTGCTTCCTAATATATTAATAGCAGTTCATAATAGTCTCAAATAAAACCATTCTCCAGAAAGGACACATATGCAAGTATACTGATGTGCATTTAAATATTTCATGGCAACATTTTTCTTATTAAAATGTGTGATATCTTTCAGCTGCATGAGAAACACAGGAAACTTACTTAAATTGTACATATATAATTCAGTCACATCACAAAACACTTATTCTTCCTTATAATGGATATTCTAACATTTACCGGCATGCATGCTCAACTTTGTGACCCACATACCCATGCCATAAAGGTTGGATGACCACAACAGATTAAGTTGAGGTTAAATGATCAGAACTGAGCACCTCTTGTAAATGACCAGTGGTTAAAAATCAGATTTAAAAAAAATCATGCTCCCTAGATCAATTAAGAATGAATGTCATGCTTAGGTGGATATAGCACATGTCCCTGTAGTATAAGTGCTAGAACTACTGTTGTGTCTGGTTCAAATAAGACTTTAGCTAAACCACTGATTTAGTTTAGAAACAAAGGGAAGTTATGAAGGTCAAAAGTTTTGCAACATATTGTAATAGAGATCCTTGCTCATTCTAATACCAATAATTTAGTAGTATCAATCTGCATAATCTGAAATAATGCATTTCTTAGAAGATATTTTGCAGATTACATTTCAGCTAAATATTTGGCTGAGTTAGCAGCTTTATGAGAATAGCATATAAGCAAGATATTACTAACAGCCAGGAAATAATAACTGGACTCCCTGGCTGTGTCTGCATGAGATGCTACTGCACAGTTGTTACTTATTTACATAAGTACTAAATAAATACTCAGTAACCCGTTACTGTCCAGTAGTGCCTGTGAATGCCTTTTTTGTGATGCTACTGCACAGTAGCCTAATACTACTGTGCAGTAGCCTCATGGCACAGTTTTTGTCACATAATGCTACTGCGCAAGTAGTATCAGGCTATTGAGCAGTCAGCATCTCACGTAGACATATCCCCTGTTCACCAACCAGAAATATAATCTCTTCTTTCTAAAAAGGAAAATCTAACACTAAAGTGGATCGTAGAAACCTTCCATAATATGTGCCTGCCTTGTTACTGGGCTAGAATGCCATGGCTCCTTTGCATTACAAAGTAATACTTACATAAAGAGATTTAACATAAAATGCTTTCTGCTTTCTGTTTATTAGTATGGTATTACTATTTGGTATGACAATGACACTGCTGGAAGTGATATCTATTCTGTATTTTTCCCCTCCCCAGTTGAGAAACAGCAAGACACAGATAATACCAAGATACACTACAACAGAATCCTGGCTAAATGAAGAAAGATATAAAGACTGATCTTGTTTAGATAAGAACCCCACTGGGAAATAAATTGTTCTAGTGTATCCCAAAATCTCATGACAGGTGTTATTAATGTACTGAGAGTCAGTCCAGTGGCTACAAATGTGAGGAGCTACTTAGCATAAGGAATTATTTGCAGACACAACAGTGGATTAAACGATACATCTTTCACTGCCTGCTTATGAAAATCTTGGGCTAAATATTTTTTTCTTTTTTCCCCTATTAGCCCTCATCCTTCAGTTTTAAAAAAGGCTCAGTGAGTTAAAGTTAAACAGCATGCCGCATTTATCAGTCATACACCCACGCACCCACACACACAAGCACACATACACACACACACTTTTCCACACACGCACGCGCGCGCGCACACACACACACACATGCGTACATATAAGTAGCTGCCAGTACTTTGGAGGCAGGGATGTAGCTAAAGCCCACAGAAATTTGTGAAAAACATGTTGAAAGAATCTGTGAAAATCCCTGGGAGTCATTTCTAGGTGACGGTTGTATTTTTCTCACCTCTGTTTCAAAATCTAAGCCAAATAATAACATGAAAACCCCAAACAAAAATGTCTACATGGCTAACTTTCATCGTATATATTCAGTAAAAGTAAAAGTAGCCATACAAGATTATTTGCTCCTAATAAATACATCCAAATATCCAATGCTACATCATAGACATTAACCATACCTGTGACTGCTATAATTTATCATAAAACACTCCTGAGTTGCTACTTTTTTCCTTTTATTTTGGCAATCTTCCTCTACTCCAAAAAAGCTTTCTGTATAAACACCACAAAATCATTTTCATTTAATTTCTATCCTACTCCAAAACAAATCTTTGTTGGCTTACAGATAAGATCAATAATAACATTCAGGAAGATGAATCACCAAAATATCTGTTTAAAAAATAGAATTATGGAAACACAACTTTAGGTTAGATTGCATACAATTTAGATGCAATCCTAAACACCTATTTCACAGATACACCGGCATTAAAGAGAAATATTCTTTTTGACCATAACAAAAAACAATCTTAACTATGCCCTTGTCACAAAATGCAATTATA